TGGTGGAAGCGGACCAGATCTAAGCTGGTAGTTAAACTTAGAAGTTTTCATACAGGCCCCCACATCTGTACCCTAAAGTTCAGAGTGGGGGAAGGAGCCTTGACACTGCCCACTTAACAGCTTTTACAAGTGTCAATTAAAAATTATGCTAACTGAACTGGCATCAAAATCTCTCTCTCCTATCCTTCCATCAGTTAAATATGAAGTTCTGAGGACAAAACACAAAAACAACCTGTCTCTTATCCACAAAGTAATACAGGTAAATCCGCTCTAGACATGGAGTGTAAAACTAACCCACAGAAGATATTAATTAGAACCTACTGTGAATCAAATTATGAGAGGAAGGTTAGCATGAACACATAGTATCAATATTCTACAATACTGTGGTTTCAACATGTTCTCGGAATTAGAATACTGACAAGGCTCTGAATCCCAAGATAATTATTTTTACAGGTTTAAATTCCATAAATAGCATTAACAAAGAGCTATGAAATTTGAGTGGGAAATTTACTGTTCTCCCTGATACTTACAAATCTCTAAAGATTCATAAAATCCTTAAACAAATCTGTAGGTGCCATCAACTACTCAAAACATTTGGGATCCACAGAAACTGTAAACGTGCATTTGTAATGGTCAGTCCTAAAATTCTACACCTTTGAGCCAGTACACCTCAAGGAACTAGTTCTAGAATTGTCTGAATTTCTATTAAATGCAAATCAATACCCAAAAGTTAGAAACAATGCAGTTGTAAACAGGATAACTTATGAAACAAATAACTTAATGAGACCATGAAGCTTCATCTGCACCATATTAGGTAGGTAATAACTGCATCTTAGTTTATCAGAAAGCTAGTGTAATATTAAGAGTTGTGTTTTGCAGAAACCAGTACCACCGGCTTTTATGGAGTTTCTGTTTGCCTTGTTTATTAAAATGTGTACTTTGTGGGGAAGATTTCTGGGTTGCTGGATTAACTGATGTTGACATTATTTAGAAACAAAGACAAGAGCTGAAGACTACAGTATTACTGTTTAAATGAGAGACCGCTATCATAATAGTTTAGAAATGTGATTATAGAAAGGAAGTGCACACAAACAAACAAGGAACTATTAGTTTAAAGACTTCACTACCATTTTGAATTTAATAGGCTTTTTAACATTTCAATTTCTGTTTAAAAGTACAGTATGTCTTGTACATTTTTAAAAAGGTATTTCAAAAAATACTAATTTTTTTCTGCTCCCTGTTGATGTTAAGGGTCTTTTTAGCAAGGGATACATTGACTAAAAATGGGAAAATGCAAAGGGCTGGGAAATGCGCAAAGTGAACAAACTGAGAAAAAACATTTTTATCCTGAGCTAACTTTTCAGTTAAGAACAATGCTTTAAATTTTTGTACGAGTCTGGTTGAATGGGAGAGCCTGGGGGGAACCCAGAGATGCCATGCGAAATAGGAGATCACATTTTAGAGTATTGGTGACATAATGTGCATGGATATTGGACAGGTATGGCAAAAAATTTTACACAAAAGCTTTTTTTAGGGGAACAGAAAATTGGGTTTTTGACCAAATGGTACTTAAATGTAAGTGTCTGCTTTCCTCTTTTTTTTATTTTATTTTATTTTCACTTGGACTTTTGGTTGAGGGAAAGTCAAAATTCCCTGCTAAAAATTTTGAGTGAAAAAACAAAGTTAGTTTGCTGACATTTGATATGGGGAAAAAACACCACCATTTTCTAACAAGCTCTAGTATTGTAGTCTCTGAACAGTGGCGAGATGATTTCCAATACTGCGCTGTATAGCATCTCTTTAAGGCCTGCACCTCAACTACAAATTCTAGTCCCAGTACTGCAGTCTGATCTTTTAGCACAGACCCTGGAAGACCACCATGTCAGTGGATCTAGCTAGTGGAACACTAGCTGTTTCAAAGGAGCATGCATTTACCCATTTGTCCTTTTTCTAGTAAGGACAGAAAGAAAGCTGCTACTATTAAACAAAACAAAAAGTTTACTGTCTTTCACACTTCCTTTTTAATCATGCTCATTCACACGCTACCATGCAAAACAAGAAAACCCAGAAGAAGAAAGTACAGACTCTCAAAGGGAAAATACAAACAAAAAAAGCCAATCAAAGGCACATCCTGCCACAAACATATTTTCTTCAAAACACAATAGCAGAAATGTAAACTGCTGTACTGCAAATATAATCTACAAGTCACTCAAAACTATGAAAACTTACCTGATCCATGATGGAATTGAGCATAGTAAGCAAAGTAAAACCACGACCCTGAACAAGGTATTGTCCAAGTGCTGCCATGTGAGTTTCTTCCTCTTCCTCCTCCCTGGCCTCAGCCCTCTGGACCACAGCATTGCAGAGACGATTGACATCTATCAAAAATTCACGTGCCAGCGAGTTACTGGCACTGCTCATGTCTGAGCTGCAAACACAAAAAAGAAAAATAGAGAAGTATCAATGCTTATCCTTTAAAAAGTTTACAATTCTCAAGATTTTGAGCTACACGTGAAGTCTATAGGACTGAAAAGTTTTTAAAAAATTATTCCTATATTTTTTTCCCCCAATTGTGGCTTCAGCTATTCACCCTCCACAAACTACACTAAACGTAAGTTAGTCACAGATATCTACCATCTGTAAATTTTGAAGGGTTTCTGTTTCTCATCCATATCATGAGATATTTTCCATGTACTATTAATTGCTTTTATATTTTCTAACTATTAACAAGCAATACTCATTTATAAAATATCTATTAGATGAACATCCACAAAGCAAAGTTTTCCTTGGGAATGTATAAAGGTAAATTAATGGCTTAATTCCAGTTTTCTAGTAAGCTAGAAGTGAGCTGTAATGCCCAGACTGCATATTTAGAAGCAGCTAAAACTTAAAGGAAAATGACTAAGTCAGAGGAAAATCAGATGTCCTATGATTCAGGATTTTTTTTAAATGTCTAAATAAACATTGTGAATTCAAACTAAATGCATCTTCTCAAACTCTATAAAGTATGTATGCATAGGCTGGGACTTTTCAAAGAAGATTAAGGGAGCTAAATGCCCAAATGCTATTGAATTTCAATGGGATTTGGGCATCTAGCTCCCTCCTGTGGTTTTGAAAATCCCAGCACCACTGCGCAAGTGAGGCACAAGTGTTTATAAAATAAAGGGACTCCAGCATCTTTCCCAGGATAAAACAGGCTTTACTTTCAAAATAATCAAGAAACTTTTAAAAACCATAAGTAAATTAGATCAAAACGGAGATCTAAAACTAAAACATCAATTTCCAATAAAATGTAATATTAAATTTTGGGTTTACCAGCATGGACAGTGGTCCTTTTAATTAAACAAATGATTGAATTAAATATTCACTAATAATGCATGTTGCTCAAAATGTGATTCTACTTTGGAGAAGACTCAAATGCAGTAGAGCAAGATTACTTTCAATTCTTCACATTATATATGTCCAAACATTTGAATTTTACTTTAAAATAAATGCACATAGTGCACTGGATTTCAGTATTTGGACGCTATTTAAAAAAATTTAAATACAAAAAGTAAGAAAACCTAGAAATGTTTCTTCAAATTCCTCCACTGCCAACTACTCCAGTGGAATTATTAAGTTTCTCTTTCCTCTCGTAAATATTATGGTAATATTGCTAGTTGGCCAGTAACACACTGGCAATTTGAAATTAACAGGAAGGGAAAAATATATTAGAAATTACAACATAAATTACAGAAAGATCAAAAATTATCTATGTTACTGAGAAAGGCATAGTGAAAGTGGCATGAAGCAGTGGTGGTGACTAGAGAAATATTGGGTGCACTAGGATGCACAAAAAGTGAAGAGCATATATGCAGTATGACTCATTTTAGTTACTGCTACAAGACTAGATAGAAGAACCAAAAATAAAAATTAAAAATAGAGTTAAGATGTGAAATCAGTAAGAACAGGCCCAGGTGTGACTCCCTTCACACCAACAAATAGGAAAAAGGATCTCTAGGACTGCTTAACTCTGTTCTTTAAAATAGTTGTATTAATGTTGCTGAAATGGAGGAAAAAACCCTGTGCAGTCATTATGTCAAATATGACATCTTAAAATAATTTTAACACATGCCTACAATAATTTTGGGATTAAGAAGTTATCTGACACTCAAAACCTCATGTGAATGTTGTGATCACTACTTCTTCCACTGAAAAGGTATATATTGCATGAGCAACTTTTCATCGTAGAAATAAAATTAAAGAGTATAGGTGTCTAACATCGGACATCCTAATACTCAGCCCTGGTCTACACTACGAGTTTAGGTCAAATTTAGCAGCGTTAGATCGATTTAACCCTGCACCTGTCCACATGACAAAGCCATTTTTGTCAACTTAAAGGGCTCTTAAAATCGATTTCAGTACTCCTCCCCGACGAGGGGATTAGCGCTGAAATCGACATCGCTAGGTCGAATTTGGAGTAGTGTGGACGCAATTCGAGGGTATTGGCCTCCAGGAGTGCTCCATTGTGACTGCTCTGGACAGCACTTTGAACTCAAATGCACTAGCCAGGTACACAGGAAAAGCCACGGAAACTTTTGAATTTCTTTTCCTGTTTGGCCAGTGTGGCGAACTCAGCAGCACAGGTGACCATGCAGTCCCCCCAGAATGTTTCTATGCTCCCCCTATCATCTCCGTCCCTGAGGTTATTGCAAATTAGAAGGCGAAAAAAATGCACTCGCGATGGCCTGTTTTCCGAGCTCATGAAGTCCTCCCACACTGACAGGGCTCAGCGTAATGCATGGAGGCATTCAGTGGCAGAGGCCAGGAAAGAATTGCTATGTTTGCTTAACGGCAAAAGTATCATGCCTCGCTAGCGATCCTGCCCGAGTCAGGTCGCTGTGTCCCATGCACGCCGCGCTGAGTCAGCCTTGGGCAGGGGCATGACTGCTTTGTGAGCAAGAAGGCCATAGATATAGACATTGCACTAGGTAGCTTCTGTAGCTATAGAAAACATTCCTGTGCATTCGGCAAAGGATGTGGCAAAAAAAGAGAAGCCCGTAGTGTTGTGGTTATCATGTTCACTTAACAAGCAAAACATCCCCAGTTCGAAACTGGGCGGAAACAGATCACTGTTCCTTTTTCTGACTCCCCTCCTGCATTTTTAGTCTTAGAACAGACCGCGCTGTGAAATTTTAATTTGAATTATATCAATTATGAGTTAAATAATATGGAAGCTCTCTCTAAGTTACAGTCCCAGGTTCCTTATCCTTTCAGCTGCTCTGATATATTAACATTTTTGTCAGGGGCGGGGGGAAATTTTCATGAAGCCTTTTATAGGGAATAAATGCTATCTAGGACTCTGAAATAATCTGAACGTGGCCCATAGAGTGCAATCCTTCATTCTGGATTTGTCATTCCACAAGTTGAACTGCTCCTTACTACTGTCCATGGGAGCAAGGGGCAGGCTGGGGTAGGTGCGACCGCGCAGTGCTGCCAGCTGGGAGAGCAGCCTGAGGCAGAAGCCTCCAGCTCGCATGATATTCCAGGCAGGACTGAATCTCCATGAGACAAAAAACTTAAGACTCATAGACTTTAAGGTCAGAAGGGACCATTATGATCATCTGGTCTGACCTCCCGCATGATGCAGGCCACAAAGCCGTCCCAACCCCTTTCCCTTGACTCTGCTGTTGAAGTCCCCAAATCCTGTGGTTTAGAGACTTCAAGTAGCAGAGAATCCTCCAGCTAGCGACCCCTGCCCCATGCTGCGGAGGAAGGCGAAAAGCCTCCAGAGCCTCTGCCAATCTACCCTGGAGGAAAATTCCTTCCCGACCCCAAATATGGCGATCAGTAGAACCCCGAGCATGTAGGCAAGATTCTCCAGCCAGACCCTCATTGGCCATTGATACTATTTACCAGCGATGGCTGGTAAAGAGAATGACCTGGAGCCACTCCCATTCAGTGCTCTAAGAGGAGGATAGCCATGTCTGTCCGGGCACTCCTAATTGACCTCACTGAGGTCTGCCAGCTGAGCAGGACCCCCGCTAGCAGGAGCTGGGGGATGGAGGCCCAGACCGGCAGCGGGCTGAGCCACTCAGCTGATGCTGGTCTGGGGCTCCGTCCGCCGGCCCCGCTCAGCCCATTGCCTGTCTGGGGTTCCGATCATCCAGGCAGACAGCAGGCTGAGTGGGTCCGGTGGACGGGACCCCAGAAAAAAGGCGCGAAACGATTGTCTGCCGTTGCTTTCACAGAAGGAGAGAGGGAGGGGAGCCTGATGACACGTACCCAAAACCACCCGCGACAAAGTTTTTGCCCCATCAGGCATTGGGAGTTTTACCCAGAATTCCAATGGGCGGTGGAGACTGCAGGAACTGTGGGATAGCTACTCACAGTGCACCGCTCTGCAAGTCGATTCTAGCTACGGTAGTGAGGATGCACTCCGCCGACTTAATGCGCTTAGTGTGGACATAGGCATAGTGTGGACTGTATAAAATAGAAATTATTTAAAAAAAAAAAAAAAAGGCTAAGCATGACAAGAGGTCTTTGGAAGGAAAATGAAGTAAAGATGTTAAGAGACTCAAGGAAAGGAAGAGAGAAAAATTCAAACAGAGATGAAAACAGAGACAAGAAACTCAAAAATGAACTCTTCCTTTTAAGAGTTTTCAGTCTCCCCCATTTGAAAAAGGGAAGTAAGGTAACTGTTTCCTAAGGGTAGAGGCATCAACTAGCTATTACCAATTATGACTCATGCAAATTCTACCAGCGAAAATTCTGTGCACACCTATGACATTGTAGAAATAAATATTCATGGTGTGTAATGTAAATGCTAACTGCTACTTACCAGGTTGTTGTTGTTTTTAAATACAGCTTCTAACACATTTCTTTTCTTTTTACAAGAGAAAAAACAGATACATTCTGGGAATATTTCCTTAAAGTTTTGCCTGTAAGACAAGAGAAATGTTTGTAAATCACAAGGTCTTTAAAAAAATATCTGTAATATGCTATTTTGTAATTTTGAAGTTAAAGTTTAAATGTAGTGTTTCATAAACTTATGAAATTGACCAATAAATCCTTCCCAAGTCTTTTTTGAGTGTTAGGATGGAGGATTGACTCAATCTAAAGCTTTATGATTCTGGTAACAGGAAATAAAGGTTATGTATACAAGACAAGACAAGCTAATAACATAAAAGCTACTCTAGTTCAAATATTTCGAAGCAAAGTGTTGACAAGTAACGTTTTTCCGCAGAAGTGATGCCAAAATTTTCAGATTGGCCATCATTTGCATGTATACACAGACTTTGAGCATTAACACCTGTGACAAGTGAGGAGCAGATATTAGGAGCCATGAATTATACAAACAAATGTAAATGCTTGAGAAGTGCATGCACAGGTGTAAGGACTCACATAACTGAATGCAAAGATGGAGGACCATTATTTGGGTGCTACCACAAAACATATTATATCTAATATCTAAAGGCCTAAATATGGGGAGGGGGAAAGAATTCATGAGTTTAGGAAAGAGAAGCAGTTAAATCAAAATCATTGCCAGGCTGACAATCATTATTACAATACAACTGACAAAGTGGGCAAGACAATACCCTAGTTAAGATGAAAGCAAGTGCTATGCTTAGATAGGAAGACATATGCAGTATACAAAGAAAAGATTGTCTTGGAGATGGTACAAAGGTGGTTAGGAAAAAAGGGGATCCAACTTGTGACTCATATGGCAGACTAACTAGAACAAGCTTAGAAAAAAAGCTTGCTCGAAAACCAAGGACCAGGATGAAGCGCCAGATGTTTCACATGACGTATCTGCTTCCCTGTAGCCTAGGCAGGCTATAATGTTGACCTGCAATAGTTTCTCCAGCTTCAGGCAGCTATCTACCCCTATCAATAGTTCAGGCAGGGAGTGAAGCAAAGTCAGTGGCTGTCACTTGTGAGTAAAAATCACACATGGAGATGCACGAACCTTGGCAGCTCTGAACATAACTATAATAAACTCAAGAACTTGCAGGGTTGGGCCACATACACACACCCAGACAGTTATAAACTTCAGAGCAGATATACTAAACCAGAACATTTAAAATAGCACTTTGTCTGAAATAATCATGAATGAAGGAAAATTACTGTAGATTGAACTCCCTTTATGGCTCTTTGACAAATCACCAAGTTTAAAAAGAGCAGTTGTCAATCAACTGGAAAATGAAGTTCCTGATTATCAATATACTTCTCCCCTGCCCCCCATGTCTTTACAGCATGAGAATTAAGGGGGGGGAAGGTTCTTCTGGTACTACTTAGGTAACCTGAATCCCTCATTCTTTTCTAAATAAAAGTACGCTTCAGAAGAAGAGTTATTTAATGTTTTTAAATTCCCAAAATATGGCGGTCTTTGAGTGGCTATATCATACAACATCTTCCACGCTTAAAATGAGGACAAATATTTTTACAAATATAAAGGGGATGACGCCTATCATGTAGCCTCTACTATGATTCAGTTTGTCAAACTGTCAGTATTTGTTTCTTTTAACTTTTCAAAGTAAACTTTTATCTTGACCAAATGTCAGTTGCTCAGTTGTTCTAAAGTAGCATGAATCCTTACCAACCATCCACAAATTTGAGCCTCATGTTTCATCTGAGTTGTATTTAAAATACAAGTTGTAGTTAGCGCTTAAATAACACCTTTTGACTGAAGGTGCTTTATAGCAATGGCTCTGTAAAGCAGACAGCAAGTATTCTACTAATTTAACTTAAGTAAATGACATATTTTCAAGGCTGTTCACTAATTTTGGTGTCAAGTATCAGGGGGTAGCTGTGTTAGTCTGTATCTACAAAAAAAACCAAAGACTAACAGATTTATTTGGGCATAAGCTTTCGTGGGTAAAAACCTCACTTCTTCGGATGCATAGAGTGAAAGTTACAGATGCAGTTACATCTGTAACTGCATCTGTAACTTTCACTCTATGCATCCGAAGAAGTGAGGTTTTTACCCACGAAAGCTTATGCC